ATATATATTCTCCAAATCTGGTGCCACATGCCTATGATCCCAAAACTCTGATCTGAGAAGCTGAGACAAGAGGATTGCAAGTTTGAGCCCAACCTGGATAACTTAGCAACCCAAGACCCTATGTCAAAATGAAAAATTTAAAGAGACAGGGTTGTATTAGCTTGTCACATTAGCTGTTCATGTGAAGGCTTTGAGTTCAATCCCTAGTATTGGGGAAAAAAAATTACAGGAATGAACCGGGGATTGAACTTGGGCCCTTGCCCTTACCAGGGAAGTGCTTATTCTACTGAGCTATCTCCCAGGCCATCCTAAACTGTTTTAAGGAGAGGAATGGAGTGATTTTCATTTCCAAGCCATTCTTTTGCCTCCTGTTTACAAGGCATGATGTTGTGTGCTAGGACATACACAAACACACATTTGCTTCTTCTCTGTGGAGGAGTGGCCACCTTGAAGATCTAGGCCTGTGCCCTGGGGGCAGGGGTAGAGGACAGGACCACAGGCAACCATGGTCAAGCAGCCCAGAGAGTGATTTTAGGCAAAATTACTCCCTTCTACACCTCCTATGGTTTAGAAGGTAAGAAAGAATAAGAAAGTACAAGAGTACATGATGCTCTGGAGAACAAAGATGCTTTATACACCAAGATAATTGCTGTTAGAGGAACATTTTCTCCCTTTCTACCCTTCATACCTTCCTATTCTTAGTTTGACACATCATCTCCCTCAAAAACAGTACCCACAGCTTTTTATTCAACATAATTACCTTTTCAACTTGATTCTGGATTTAGAAAAAAAAATACAAAACCAAGTAAAGGAACATGTTTATTGATTTTGACTCCAAGCCCAAAGACAGCCTCTGTTGTAGATTCTGTTCCCAGAGAGAGGATTTTTCCTAAATTAAAGTGATCACGGTGACTCTCAGTGTAAATCCCTTGAGCTGGAAAAATCGAATTTGGTTCTGTGGTCCAGTGCTTGATAGTTCCCAAGTTTTGGAAGAAGTCAGGGTATGGGATCATGACCAGTGTGGATTGTGCACATCTGCATATGTGGGCACATACATGCATGGGGAAAATTTAGAAGAGAGCAATGTTAATCTCATAATGTCTGTGCTTTGGAGAAAATCAGGAAGAAGGGCATGGTGGCGCAGGCCTGTAATCTCAGTACTCTGGAAGCAGAGACCAGAGGATAGTTGTGAGTTCAAAACCAGCCTGTACTACTAAGGCCAGCCTGAACTGCATAGCAAGACCCTGTCTTGAAAAGACAAAACCACAAACAAGGTTGGGGAGATAGCTCAGTGGTCTAAGCACCTGTTTGGCAAGTGCAAGGACCCATGTTCAATCCCCAGTACCGCATGCCATGCATGGCCCCGGAAACCTGGTTGCACCATGCCACCCTGAAACTGGGCATTGTTGCACACACCTGTAATCCCAGTGCTGGGAAGGCTGAGACAGGAGGATCACTACAAGTCTGAACTGCATAGTGAGACCCTGTATCAAATAAATAATTTTTTTAAAAAAAGGAAAGACTTTTTCCCTTTGTTCCTTCAGGTCTCATTAGACCCAAACTTTGATATTATAAAAGGGATGGGAGGGTGAGAGGGCTTGAAGCTAAAGGACAGACTACTGGCTAGAAGTGACACAGACTTAACTACTCATAGTTGACTTCTCCTTCGCCTGAACTCTACTTCTACACAGATCTGGTCCTGCATGAAAGAGGTTTTCAAGATATAAGGCCCTGCTTGATGGTCCCCAGTGATACCCAGTGTCTTCATTCAGACTTTTTCTTCTCTTAAAACTTTTTTTTTTTTTTTGGTACTGGAGATCAAACTCAGGACCTTGCACCTGCCAGGCAGGCACTTAAGCCTCTGAGCTATCTCCCTGTCTTTTCTTGAAATTTTAGCTTTGCTTTTGTTTTGTTCTGTTTTACTTTGTTTTGTTTTGCTGAGACAAGGTCTGGCTGTATAGCCCAGTCTGGCTTTGAACTCACAGTGATCCTCCTGCCTCAATCTCCCTAGTGCTGACATTATAGCCATGTGCCACCTGGCTCTCTTGAGACTTTTGCCTGAGAAGAATTTCTTCAAAAGTTCAAGAGCTAGAGAGTGGGGAGATAGCTCAGTAGACTAAGCGCTTCCCTGGCAAGCACAAGGGCCTGAGTTCAATCCCCAGTTCCACAAAAGAAAAAAAAAAAAGGTTTAGGAGCTAGAAAATGAAGGTTTCAGGACCTGGGTATAATAGTGCACACCTCATAATCTCAGCTACTCAAGAGGTTGAGGGAAGAGAATTGCAAGTTCAATATAACCTGAACAATTTAGGGAGATCTGTCTCAAAATTAAAAAATGAAAAGGGACTGGGAATGTAGCTCCGTGGTAGGATGCAGCTGGATTTCATCCCTGGATTCAGCCCCTAGTACAATTTTTTTTTTTTAGGAAAGCACAAGCTACTCTGAAGTAAGCTCCTCTAGTCCAAGGGGAAGCCACACCTCTGCCCTAGGGCATTTGCTCCTGGTCCCTCTACCAATTTTTTTTTTTTTTTTAAGTATAGGGTCTACCGGATCTCACTACACAAATCAGACACATAGTGGTTCTCCTGTTTTCAGCCTCCTGAGCACTGGGATTACAAGCGTGCGCCACCATGCCCAGTCTCAGTTGCTGATCTCAGCATGTCACAGGGGCAGGGCCAGCAGAGCATGCCGGGATTGAACCCCAGTCCCTGTGTGACCAATTCTTTTTTTTTTTTAATTTTATATATTTGTTTATTTATTTATTTTGTGTGGCCAGCTCAGCCCACCAGGGGGCGGGGCTGGCTGGCATGTGGTGCTGGGGGATTGAACCGCAGTCCCTGTGCTTTGCTAAGCTTGTTCTAAGTAGGTGCTTTAGACCACTGAGCCATCTCACCAGCCCAGACCAATTCTAATAAATGCCATTTTACTGGTCATTAGGAAACTCTCTGTGTAGCAGGATTTAAACTAAAATTTTGAGAAACACCCCATTAAGCCAGTAGCCAGAGCTGGGCCCTCTATATCTAATCTCTGCTCTGTTTAGAAAAACTAAAAAATGGCCTCTTTCTTCCCCAGAGTTCTTTTTCACTTTTCTAGGAATATGATTTAGGGGTCAGCTCTGTGGTCTGGACTCTGACAGGTTCATGAAAAAGCTCACCTCAGAAAGACCTGCAGTTCTAACCTGCAGCTCATGTTAGAGGACTTTCCTCAGAGCCTACTATCAGTCCACCTCCTGTAGCCCACTCTCAGACAGGCTTCTCCACTGGCAGCAGCCTTGCCATCAGCATTGCAGGCAGCCAGGTCCTTGGGCCCTGCTGGGTGGGGATAGTGTCCAGCCGGCAAAGAGTCACAGAGCAGATACACCTGCCATGTTTCTGACAACGGAGGGCATGTACTGGGAATTGTTGAGGGCCTTGAACCAAGTTGTAGGATGTCTTTTTCAAAGTAGAAAGGAAGGGGCCAGGGAGATGGCTCAGTAGAATAAGTACTTCCCTGGCAAGCACAAGGATCTGAGTTCAATTCCTAGTTCTGAAAAAAAAAAAAAAAAAAAAATTGAAGGAGTTTCTAACAAGCAGTAACACATGGAAAAATATTACAATCTCATTGTATTGTGCTGGCCTCTAAAGCCATAGTCATCATAGTCATACTTCTTTTTTTCCCTTTAAAAAAAAAAAAAAACTTTTTGAGACAGGGTCTCGCTACACACTTAAGCTGGCCTTGAACTCACTTTGTAGCCCAGGCTGGTCTTAAACTCCCAACAGTACTCCTGCCTCAGCCTCCTGAGTGCTGGGATTTATAGGCATGCACCACCATGACTTTCTGGCATAATTCTTCTGGACCTGGCTCTGGCCATTCTTACTATATTTACCCTTTCACGGCATTATGCCCTTTCTGTCATGTCCCTGTCTAGAATACCCTGCTCTCACTGACCAACTCCTCATTCCATGCTATGGAAAAATCCCATTCATCTATCAAGGGCCCATCTGCATGTCACTTTCCCTGTAAAGTCTTCCTTGATAATAGCCAGCCACTCTGCTAAAGTCTTTCTCAGCAACCACAGCACTCTGTAGAAACAAGTATGGTAACTTGGAAACACTGTCTCCTAGTATGCAGCTTACCCTACAGATCATACTTTGACGTATCAGTTCCTCCTAGTTTCTGAAAGCTCAGTATTCTGTTAGCAGTAGTAGGCACTGAGTAGTAGGGGATGGAAAACATATATATATATATATTCCAGGCAATTAGAAGCCAGGCCCTAGTGCTGATGTGAAAATAGTTCCTAGAAAATAGCATACAAGCTTGGTCAGAGTAAGTTTAAGACTTTTCTTGATCTTCTTTTTATCAGAACAGAAAAAGAAAACCCCAGCAAGAGAAGTGGAAGACTGTAGCCTCTGATACCACTGATGACCAGAAACAGGGTAGGTTCTGGAAAATTTATATTTATTCTTTAATAATCATCCTTCAGGGCCAGCCAAATAGCTCGGCAGATTAAAGCACCTGCAAGCAGGCACAGGGGTTGGGGGTTTGATCCCTGGGCCTGTAGTGCCAACCCTACCCTGCCCCTGGGGTGCTATAAGAGGGCAATTGAGACTGGGTATGCTGCTGCACGCACTTGGTTACTTTTTTTTTTTTTTTTTTTTTTTTTTTTTTTTTTTTTTTTTGGCAGAACGGGGATTGAACTCAGGGCCTTGCGCTTGCCAGGCAAGCACTTATTCTACTGAGCCATCTCCCTGGCCCTATCCTAGCACTTGGGAGGCTATAAACAGGTGGATCACTACAAGTCCGATCTAGTAATGAGACCCTGAACACCCTGTAGACCCTTCCCTAAAATACAAATACAAATCATAATCATAATCATACTTCACTTCCTGGCATAAAAGAAAACATTCTTTTAGGGCTATGCTGAGCAGAGCAACACAGAGCACTGAGTCTGGGCACACTGGACATGCTCCCATGGAGGCCTTCCCTAGTCTGGAACTAGGACCCTCCACCAAGCTCCAAAAAGGAGGGAAGGTGGGCAGTCCTTGACCTTCCTCCTCTGCTTCTGATAGTACAATCAATGCTCCCGCAACTCTAAGACATTTCCCTGTGAGGTGGGAAATGTAATAGAAAAGTTGAAAAGGATGTGTTTCCCTTTTTTGTGCTTTTGGAGAAGCATACATGGAAAGCTGTCCTTTTCCCCTTGGGGTGAAAGGTTAATACTATGGATCCTAGGCAGGCATGGCGTTGCACGCCTGTGATCCCAGCACTCAGAAAGCTGAGGCAGTAGGATTGCCATTAGTTCGAGGCCATTCTGAGCTACATAGTGAGTTCAAGTCCATCCTAAATTACAGAGTGAGATCCCTGCCCAGTCTCACAACACACACACACACACACACACACACACACACACACACACACACACACACACACACACTGTGGATCTACAAAACCTGAGAATGCACAGGCTTTCTTGCTGATCTTTTACCCAGCATGGAATTCAATTTATTTATTTTTTATTTATTTTATTTTATTTTTTGGTGGAACTGGGAATTGAACTCAGGCCCTTGCGCTTGCCAGGGAAGCACTTATTCCACTGAGCCATCTCCCCAGCCCCATGGAATTCAATTTGGATGGCAGCTATCTCAGAAGTGGCATGTAAGCCTGTGAAGTCTATGACAAATCATCATTTCATGTAAAAGCATACTGGTGATGGCTGGGACTTCAGCTGTGTAAATATCTCATGAATCTGACTTTGAAAATACTCTAAGGTCAGAATAGCATCATATTGAGCTAAAATAAAATCAGAAAGGTCAGAGAAACAACTCATCTGGCTTTAAATAAATCTTGGTGTAAGCCTGCACTGCTATCCCCTACTAACATGAAAGTACTCCATAACCAATGCCTTTTTTCTAACTGAGTGTTTTCCTTACAGATTCTAAATGGGGACACAACCTGCCAGGGGCAATTGTTCCACCATTGCAGCAGAACAACTCTCCTCCTTCTAAAGATCTGGGAATCCAAGGTTTCTTTGGGTTGCTAAGGTAAGATAAGCCTTCCCCCTGCCATCACAGAGCCCCACAGCCTGAACAGGAACAGACTGCAGAGCTTGCCTTGCTGCATCTTGCAGACAAATGAGGATGGAGAGAAAAGCTGATCACTTGGAAAGATCTCTCAATTACATCTAAGATAGAAGATAGAGGGGCCAGGGAGATGGCTCAGTAGAATAAGCACTTGCCTGGCAAGTGCAAAGGCCTGAGTTCAATCCCTGGTTCCACCAAAA